CGATCTTTGCATGTGCGGTGCTTAGGAAGGGTCGACCTAATAGTACTTCAGAATAAGAATCCGACCTATCATGTTTCATGTCAATGACATAGAAATCTACAGGAAAAAATAATACATCGACCTTTACTAAGACATTTCTATCTATACCACTTCTAACATCGATCTTTGCATGTGCGGTGCTTAGGAAGGGTCGACCTAATAGTACTTCAGAATAAGAATCCGACCTATCATGTTTCATGTCAATGACATAGAAATCTACAGGAAAAAATAATACATCGACCTTTACTAAGACATTTTCTATCACTCCCATTGGATAGATCACAGATCGATCAACCAACTGTATGATTATTTTTGTTTCCTTCAAAGGCTTGTTAGTAATCATTTTATAAATAGAAAATGGCATAACATTGATTGAATCCCCTAAGTCACACATTGCACGTTTAATTTTAAGCCTATTTTACAAGGTATGGCGAACATACCTTGATCTTTCATCTTTGGTGGGAGCTTTCGTTGAAAAATTAAAGAAACATGTTCTCCCAAATTTAACTTTTCATGCCCCATTAATTTTCTATTTGTAGTGTAAATTTCTTTTAAAAATCAAGCATACATTGGTACTTTTCGAATTACTTCAAGAAGAGGTATGTTAACTTGAACTTTTTGGAACACCTCTAATATCTCCCCTTCTTCATCTATTTTATCATGCTTTATCAACCTTGATGGGAAGGATGATGAGATTTCATGAGAACAAGGAGGAGGAGGATGTGCGTTAGATGTACCTTATATATCTGGAGGTGGCGTTTCTTATTGTTTTGCGGTATGTGCAGCTTTTTCTTATGGAATTTCGTGTGAGATGACTGTTCCACTTCGGAGTGTGATGAAACTAACATTCTCTCTCGGTTTAACTCCGTTTGAGAAGGTAGTATTCCTTGTGATTCTAATTTTCCCATAGCTTGAGCCAGAGGGCTCGCTTGTTTATCCAACTCTTGAAGATGTGTTTCAGTTCAGCTTTGGAATTTTTCATGGGATGTAACCAACTTTTCTTGGGAAATTGCTAACTTTTCCATGATTTCCTCCAATTATGTCTTTTGCGATTTTTGTTGAGGAGGAGGTCTTGGTTGAAAAGTTAGCCTTTGATTTGGCGCATAGCTGAGATTTGGGTGGTCTTGCCATCCCAGATTATAAGTATTACTATATGGGTAGTATGGTCTCTATGGAGGACTTGGAAAGTTTCCTACGACATTGATTTCTATATTGCCTTCTTCGTGTATCATTGGGCAGTAGTCTGTCGGATGGTCTAGCTTCGTGCATATCCCATATGCTCTTGTTACCCCAGATTTTCCTGCAACAAGTGAATTAACTACTTTAGTTAATTTATCTGATTTATTTTCAATGGAAAAGATACTTATTTCATGAAATCATCAGCTGGGTTCAGTTGAAAACTGTTGAGAGTTGGCGACCAAGGTTGAATTCAACTCTCTCGCTGTTGTTGGGGTCATGTTGACTAATGCTCCTCCGCTGGCAGCATCTACCATTTTTATTTCCATTGGTAAAAGACCTCCATAAAAGTATTGGAGTAACGTTTTCTCACTTAAAATGTGTTATGGACAATTTGCACAAATCTTTTTCAATTATTCCCAATAATCATAAAGACTTTCTTCGCTCTTTTGCCGAATGGAAATATGCTCCTTCGTAACTTGCTTGGTTTAGCCCCTGGGAAGAACCTGTCAAGAAAAATTTGACTCATGTCAGTCCATGAATTAACTGAATTCAGAGGTAAATAAAATAACCAATCTTTAGACAAGTCGGCTAAAGAGAAAGGGAAAACCCTCAATTTAATTTGATCTTTTGTAACTCCATGTGGTTTCATGCTAGTGCAAACAACATGGAACTCCAACAAGTGTTTGTGCGGATCTTCAGTGGGTAGGAGATGAATAAGTCCTTTTTTTAACTGAAATGGAGTCCCGCCATTAGGAAAAGTGATGCATAATGGCGTCTGCGTGACAGGAGCTGTGGCTAGCTCTCGGATCATTTGTTGTTCTTCTTCTTCTGTCATCGGGATTTAATCTTTGTTATATGCGTTTTTTTTTCAGAGTTTGTCTCCAGATTTGATTCTGTTTCTAAACTCTGCTCTTGTTCTTCTTGTCTTTTCCGTTTTTCTTGAACCGTTTGTTCGTGGATTCTTCGTGCTCGTGCTTCGATCTCCGGGTTAAGATCCACTAATTCACTCGAGTTTTTTATGGTCATAAATAAAAATAAAAATAAATCAGTACTTTTCGTTAGTCCCCGGTAACAACACCAATTTGATAACTATTGTTTTGCTATCAAAATAATTCTGACTTCTTAATAAGTAAACAGTTAGAGTAGAATTAGAAGAAGAGTCGATCCAAAAGGACTCTGATGTTTCTGATTTAGTGGACTTTTTGATTTAGATGAAGATATAATTTCAGATAAAGATAAAAAGATAAGAATAAAATAAAAAAATAAAAAAATTAAATATAAATCTTTTAAAATAAAAAATAAGGATAAAATAATAAAATAAATAATTAAATATTTATAAGATAAGGATAAAATGAGAGAGTTTTTGAATTGTTTAAAGAAATAAAATGAGATAAAGATTAAATAAACAAATAAATAAATAAAATAAATTGAGATAAAGAAAACTTATGGTAAAAACAGCCTGAGGCTTCAGCTTTGCCTCAAATTCCTTGGATCATCGAAATAGATCTTTACTTCAAGATTCACGTCGGTTACTTATCTACTAGGACAAATCCTTGCGACTATGCTTTGTATATCGAATATCCAAGTACACTCTTTAATTTTGGTTTGTGAGTTGATCTAAGCAATAAAAATGTTGTAGATCTTAAAATGTTGATGTTCGAAAAGCTGCCAACTTGGATTATGTTGTTTCAACAATAATTGATTCCAATCTCAGTTTCCTTTTAGCAAAAAATTTTTCTAAGTGTGTTCACAAGCAGTCGAATGTTCTTTAATAAGCTGATCCTTCCTCCCACGTTAACCATAACAATATTTAGACCAACGCCGACTTTTGGTTTTGAAAATCGTTTTGATTTGAAAATAAGCCTAGAAAGTTGAGAGAGATATCCGAAGAGATTTAAATGCCTTCCAATTCTCACGTTTGGAATTGAGCCATCGCTTTAGCCTTCGACTTAAAAGAAAATTAGCTAAGCATGACCAAAGTGATACTTAGCATATTTAAAAAAAAAACTTAAAATAAAAATAAAAGAATTGAAAAACTTGAAAGAAAATAAAAGAGAGAATTTTATAAAGTTAGAGAGAAGAAGAAGAGTAAATTCTCAGTTGTCGAGAGATATTTTTCTAGGCTTACCCTGAGATGGTATTTATAGCATTCAAAATCCTAAAAATAAGGTAAAGATAAATCCTAAATTAGAGAAGAAAATCATAATTAAATCACTTAAAACTATTTAAACTAAAATACCTAAAACAAAGATAAGATAAAATATATTATTTAAAATAATATCCTAAAACATGAGTTTAATTCAAATCCGAATTGTAGAAACGTGTGGCTAATCAATTCATTCTTCTAGAAGAGCTGACTAGACCTTCTAGAAGGTGATGATGTCATCTCCACGTCAGATGCTTCATGTCCAAATTCATGCCCACTAATCCAACTTTGATTCCGAAAATAAAAAAAATGCAGAATTATGTCATTTTAGTACAATTTCCAGAATCCAGTGTCCTGTACATAATATGAATCAAAATGAAAAAATAAGCCACAAAACCCAACGATTAAGGAGCAATTTAAAAGAAAAATAATAACCAAATAAAGCACTTATCAATTTTGATACTAATTTTTATGTGCTTGATGCTTCACGATTATTAGTAGAAATACTTTTAATTAAATGTATGGTATTATGATTATTGTCTAGAAATAGATTTTATTGATTTACTGTAGACTTTTAAAAGTATGCAACCAATCAATTAGCTTTGTTAATACTTTTATATCTTTAATTAACGAAAGTAATTAGAGTAGACCAACGGGTCTTAATTATTGCTAATCACATAAGAGTATTGTTAATCATTTACTTAATATAAGAAATTCAATATATCATTTCCTGCGATTTGATAGCTGACTTAATATTCTCTGATTGATGTAGCATGACCTGGTGTTTATTATCTTGACTTTATTCACCTATTTAGAAAACCTTTTCATACTAATTAAACTTTAAACTCTAATGAAGATCATTTTTCTCCCTATGGATTCGATACTCGTAGCTCTATGAGTTACAAATTATTACTTGGGAATTTGTGTACACTTGCACTTACGTTGTAGCAATTTACCAGGCATCAAGTTTTTGGTGCCGTTGCCAGGGAGCATCGGTTTGATTTAGAGTTTTATGTATTTTTCTTACATTTTATTTTCTTTTGTATTACTTGTTAGTTTTTACTTTTACTATTTTATTCCTAGAAGAGACGACAATTTAGATCGTTTGATTCATAAATTGAAAGGACTTTTAGATAACGTCACCGCGAAGCAACGAGAAACAATCCAATTATAGCTAGACCAGGGAATCCTGCTTGCCACCACTCAGCATGGAGAGGATGAGGACTTACCTGCTGGCATTGGAGTAGGACAACCATTTCATAACATGAATGACCGATCTGTTTGTGAACATGTAGTCTCAACACTGGATGATCTCTATCCAAGCATCGTGAGGCCAGTGATTAATGTAACGAACTTTGAATTAAAGTCTAGCATGTTCCAAATGTTACAATCTATGGGACAATATGGAGGGTATGTTTGTGAAGATCATAGAGCTCATCTGAGAGCTTTCATAGAGGTTTGTGATTCGTTTATTCAGTAAGGTGTTCTGGAGGAACTGAAGCTGAAGTTATTTTCTTATTCTCTACGTGATAGAGCACGACCTTGGTTGAGTTCACTAAAACCATGTGTTATAGCTTCATGGACTGAACTAGCACAATTTGTTTATTGACTTTTAATATGTTGAATATAAATGCCGAGATTTAAAATGAGATAACGTCTTTCAAGAAAATGGATGATGAAAGCTTATATGAGGCTTGGGAATGATTTAAGGAGTTGTTGTGGAAATGTCCTATGCATGGTTTCCCACATTGGACTCAAATAGAGATATTTTACAATGGGCTAAATATCCACACATGTAGGATAGTTAATGTTTTAGCGAATGAAGCTTTGTTAGATAAGACATACAATGAAGCATATGAAATCCTGGAAAGGATCTCAACTAATGACTGACAATATCCGAATACAAGGAGCATGTTTGGCCGAATGAATGATGCAGCAGTAGATTCTGAAGCTTTCAACTCCATGGCATCATAGATTTCAACATTGATGGATATGGTAAAGAAATTGAAAAAACCAGGAGGAATGTATGAAGTTAAGGCTACAACATTTATCACTTGCATTTATTGGGGCGATAATTACAACTTTGATGAATGTCAACAAAATCTAGAGTCTATTTATTATGTGCAAAATTATCAAAGGAATGACAATACTTTCGCAACACATATATTGATAATTTCAGGAATCACCCTAATATTTCCTGGAGAATTGAGAACATTGCTAATCCATTATCAGTAGCAACATTATAATAGGCAGGAACCATTATCGCAACCACAAGCACAATAACAAGTTGCTTAGCCGTAACAAAAGCAAACATATCTAGGTCAATCTTCTACATAATCTTCTTTTTTATCATTTCTTGAAGCTTTGATGAAAGAGTATATGACGAGCCAATCAGCATCATTAAGAGCTCTAAAGAATCAAATGGTCCAAATGGCTAATGCTCTAAATAATTGGTTACAAGGAACGTTGCCTAGCGATATAGAAAATCCGAAGCAACATTGTAAGGCTATCACCACAAGGAATGGAATTCATATTGGGAAGCCTTTTGAAAAACATAAAAATGATGATGAAACTTCTAAGGGAAAAGACAAAGAAGTTGAGTTAGAGCAACAAATGAGCCACACTACAACATCCAACCTAGGACAATGTAGTAATTCAGACTTATTGCTAACAACAATACCAACCGCTACTGATATTCCACCAACTTTAATGCCTCAACAACTACAACCAAAGTCATTCCCACCATTTCCACAGTATTTTAAAAAGACAAAGGAAGATCATTAATACAAAGCGTTCATAAATAAACTTCGCCAACTCACTATCAATATCTCGTTAATCAATGATTTAGAACAAAACCCAAATTACATTAAATTCTTGAAGAAAGTCCTCTAAAAGAAAAGGAGACTTGGTGAATTTGACACTGTTGCTCTTACTGAGTGCAGCAGAGCTATGACTACAAGTTGATTTCCACCAAATCTTAAAGATCCAGGGAGTTTTACTATTCCTTGTAATATTGGTGATAAATTTGTAGGTAAAGCTTTGTATGACTTGGGTGAAAGTATCAATTTAATGCCATTATCCATTTTTAGGAGATTTGGGAGGGGCAAATCAAGACCAACTACAATCACTTTACGACTTGTTGATTGGTATACCTTGCATTCGAGTGTTATTATAGAAAATATTCTTGTGAGAGTAGATAAATTCATATTTCTTACGAACTTCATTATCTTGGATTATGAAGCAGATTCCTCTTATTCTCGGATGACCATTCCATACCATGAGCCGAGCATTAATTGAGGTTGAAAAGGGAGATTTGAATATGCATTTAAATGATGAGCATATCGCTTTTAATGTTGTAAACAATGCTTATTCTATAAATGATAATATTGAATGTTTCTCACTTGACGTGATTGATCTTTTGCACGCACAGGAGCATTGGGAAGAATGCTGCAGTACATACATTGTCATTAGCGATGAAAAAGGAATAAAAGAATTTTCTAATGATGTTGGGAGCTAATGTTGTAGTAATTATATGCAACATGTTGAACCTCTCAACAATCCAAATCATATTGTTCAAACCCCAAAACCATTTATTAAAAAACCACCAATTCTTGAATTGAAACCTCTGCCAGAGCATTTAAATACGATTATCTTGGAGAAAATGAAATATTGTAGGTCGTTGTGGCCGTACAACTTTCAAAATATCAGGAAGCTCAATTGATTGGGATGCTGAAGCATTACAAGAAAGCGATTTCCTAGAGCATTACCGACATAAAAGACATTAGTTCATCATTTTTTATGTACAAAATTCTTTGGGATGACCCTAATAGTAGTTCGATTAAACACTAGCGACGACTAAATCAAATTATGAAAGAAGTGGTGAGGAAAGAGATTAACAAATGGTTAGATGTTGGGATTATATATCCGATCTTGAATAACAATTGAATTAGCTCGGTGTAATGCGTCCCGAAAAAAAGTGACATTGTTGTGGTGACAAATAAAAAAAAGAATTTGTGCCAACGAGGACAACTACGGGTTGGAGAATATGTATGGACTATAGAAAGCTAAATAATGACACAAGAAAAAAAATTTCCATTTCCATTTATAGACCAAATGTTAGATCATCTTGTTGGAAAAGCTTTTTATTGCTTCTTTGATAGTACAATGGTTATAATCAAATCGCTATAGCACCGGAAGACCAGAAGAAAACCACGTGTCCGTATAGTACTTTTCCTTTTTGCATAATGCCATTTGGGTTATGTAATGCTCCAGTAATATTTCAACGCTGCATGATGACCATATTTTTCGATAAGATTTAAGATTATCTCAAGGTATTTATGGATGATTTTTCCGTGTTTGGGCAAGGTTTTAAGAATTATTTAAATAACTTAGTTGTTGTATTGATTAGATGTGAAGAGACCAACTTGGTTTTGAATTAGGAGAAATGCCATTTTATGGTAACTGAAGGTATATTGATTGGGAATCGTATCTTTGCCGCGACATTGAAGTAAATAGAGAAAAAGTAGAAGTTATTAAGAAATTACCACCACCAACTAATGTTAAAGCAATTCAAAGTTTTCTTCGTCAAAATAGTTTTTATAGGAGATTTATCAAGGATTTTTATCAAATTGCTAAACCCTTGTGTTCATTACTAGAGAAATATAAAAAGTTTGCTGTTAACAAGAACGTGTTTAAATCCTTTGAGACAATCAAGAAGAAGCTAGTAAATGCTCATATTATTATAGCACCATATTGGAATCTACCTTTTGAGTTGATGTGTGATGCTAATGACTTTACTATAGGTATAGTGTTGGGGAAATGAAAGGAAAGAACATTTCATGCTATACATTATTTAAGTAGAACATTAAATGATGCTCATGTTAATTACACCACCACAGAAAAGGAGCCGCTTGCTGTGGTGTTTGCCTTCTACAAGTTTCATGCATACTTGGTGGAAATGAAAGTAATATTTTATACTAACCATTCAACGTTGAGGCATTTATTTTTCAAGAAGGATACTAAGACCAGATTAGTCTGATGGGTGCTTTTACTCCAAGAATTTGATAATGAAATTTGAAATAAGAAGGGACCTGAAAAGGAAGTAGCTAATCATGTATTTAGGTTAGAATCCAATAACAAGGATGGTAGCTTTGTAATAAATCTAAATAATTTCCCTGATGAGTGACTGGTTGTTGTTACAGCATTGTTGTGGTATGCTAATTTTGCTAATTATCTAGTCACTGGGATGATTCCACCCGATCTTAACATCCAAGGCCGAAAGAAATTTATAAGTGATGTAAGACAATATCATTAGGAAGAGCCGTACTTATTTAAACAAGGCAATGATCAACTTATGCGGTGATGTATTCTTGAATGTGAACAGTAAAATCTTCTACAACATTGTCATAGCGCCCCTTATGGAGATCATTTTGGTGGAATGCACACAACAACGAAAATACTTCAGTTCGGGTACTATTGGCCATCCCTTTTTATAAATGCCAATGAGTTTATAAAGCATTACGATTGTAATACCCCAAATGTGAGGTCAATGACTTTATTGAAAAGATTTAAAATTTGAGGATTTATTTGAATAAATGATAAAAGATGAGAAAATGATTTGGAATAGTGTTTTAGACTAACTTGTAACAATAGATGAATTAATAGGGCATTTTGGTCCTTTAAGGGTGGAAATGAATTTAAAATTTATTTCCTTATTAGGGATTTTTAATAGGAGAAAAGAAGAAAGTTAAGTGAAAAGCTATATCTTATTCTTCATCTTTCCCGTGTAAAGGCTCTCCTCCATAGCCAAAGGTAAGGTTTCATTTGACTAGTTTTTCCTTTCATTTTTGGTTGGTTTTTGAATCATTGAGTATTATAGAGGCTTAAAGAAAGGTTAAATACGATTAAATCTAAGAGATTTATGAAATATTTGAGATTTAAGAAAATGGGTTTTTAAATGATATGTTAAGATATGAGTTTTTATTTATGTTTACTAGTATATTTGACTTGTCAAAGAAGTAAATAAGAGATTAGAAACATTTGATGGGTTTAAAAACATGTTAGAAAAAGTGGTATGATTCTTGGATTGAAATGTTCTTTAGAGATTGTAGATGTTACAAGTAGTTAAATAAAGGAAAGATAGTTGGGATAAGAAAAGAAGAGTTTGATAGTATTGTTGGAGGTAAAAATAGGGGAAATTGGCCAAATGTGGGTAAAAATCGGGCTGAAAATGGAAATTCTAGGTAAGGGTATCGGTACAGGAAGAACAATACCGATACTATAGGCTTAAATTTAGAAGAAATCATATGAACATTATCGATATTGATGCAATTAGTATCGATATTGATGGGTTATCGATACTATGAGGAAGGTATCGATACCATTTATTCCAGAATACAGAAATAGTATCGATACTGTAATGGAGTATCGATACCATATTATAGAAGTATCGGTACTAGGAGAAAGGTATCGATACAATGGATTCCAAAATGTCGAAATAGTATTAATACTGAAAGAGAGTATCGGTATCATAGTATAGAAGTATCGATACCATGGTATGGGTACCGATATTATTAAGCCACAAATTATAAGATAGGCTGAAATTAGTATAGAAATTTAAAATAATAGTACTTTTGAGTATTATTAAAGTATAAATGTTAGATAATATACTAGCATTTGTATAGAAGGTGTACTAAATGGGTGCTTGTGTAGATTATAACCAAGCTCCAGAGTCAAGCAAGAA